AGACCAGATTACAAGACTCTAGCGCCGTCATCAGAATGGCCTCTCCGGTAAACTCTGACGCCAAATACTACTTGCGGCTTTCCGGAGACCCAGAATCTGCTGCCACTGGTCAAGCTGGTGTTGGGGTTGTATTAAGTGCCAGGGCTGAATCAGCTCTGCTTGACTGGATCCCAGTCAACAGCCGACTATGTGCAGTCAGACTAAGAGGTTCATGTAACGTAAGCAGGCGTCGAGATGTTAAGCGTGCCTTATTTGTCGTCTCCGCCTACGCCCCTACAGACTGCAGCCCGGATGCAGTTAAAGATAGCTTCTACCAACAACTACATGAACTTCTGCGTTCCTCCAAACGGACGGATATAGTCATTCTTGCCGGGGACTTTAACGCACGGGTTGGCCGTCTTCTACCAAGCGAGCACCACATTGGGGGTAGTTTTGGTCTCGGTGGCAGTCGATCAGACAATGGAGACAGACTACTTGCTCTTTGCTCTGATCATCGCTTGTTTCTTCGAGCACTAGTTTTCGACACTCGAGGAGACAGACTGCTACCTGGCGCCCGCCCTCACAAACGCAAGAGTGCTCCCAGCTTGACCACATAGCAATCAGCTACAGATGGCGCGGAAGCGTAATGGACTGCCGATCGTACTGGTCAACTTTTCTGGACTCTGATCACGCATTGGTTCGTGCTAAGATTTGCATGCGTTTCGGATGATCACCTAAGCGCGCCCACTACCGACCGGACGTCGCAAATCTACAAAACGCTGCGGTTTTAACCAGGTACCAAGCCTCACTGTCAACTTTGCTTGGCTCAACTATTGACGGTGATCTCGATTCGCAGTGGGCGCATATCAAAGATGCGTTAGTTTCTGCCAGTATCGACACTTGTGGAGTTACCCGTCACCCACCGAAACATTGGATTTCCGCCGACTCCTTGTCGCTGATGGACAAACGCCGCTTGATCCCATCGGATTCGAGACACGTTGAAGAACGCCAATACCTTGGTCGAGAGTTGCGCAGGAGTCTGCAAATGGACCGCGAAGCTTGGTGGTGTGAACGTGCTAGGGAGATGGAGCTTGCTAGTCTCTGTGGTAATACCAGGAAACTCTTCCATCTCCTTCGAGTCACCGAAGGTGTTCGATCTGGTATAAGTGAAACAAAATGCGAAGAGGATGGCACCTTAATCACCAATCTTCAACGACGGTTGGAGCGATGGGCCGAACATTTTGGCTCGCAGTTTTGTTGGCCCCCAGCTCCATCTGCTACCTCTGGCGCTCGCGCTGGGGCCGAGTGGTCTACCCCAACAGACCCTCCCTCTTCCCAGGAAATCGAGCAGGAGCTCCGGCACCTGAAGCGTTATAAAGCTCCCGGCCCTGATGGTCTTCACCCAGCTCTATTTAAAGATGGTGGCGCATCGCTGGTCCGAGAACTCACCGTTTTGTTCTCGAAAATTTGGTCGAAAGAGAAGGTTCCATCATCTTGGGGTGAATCGATAGTCGTACCCATCTTCAAAAAGGGCCTGCGCACAATCTGCTCCAACTACAGAGGAATAAGTTTAGTCCCCGTCGTTTGCAAGCTGCTGGTGTCCATCATACTTCGCAGGCTATCCCCAACACGCGAATCGTTGCAGCGAGAAGAACAAGCTGGGTTTCGCCCTGGTCGCGGCTGCATCGATCAAATCTTCACACTTCGCTAGATTCTCGAACTCCGCCATGTGTATCAGAGGCCAACGATTGCTGTGTTCCTGGATATCCGTGCTGCCTTCGATTCTGTCGATCGTACAGTACTGTGGCAGTGCCTTCTGAGGAACGGTGTCCCCGAGAAGTTCGTCTCCATACTGCGCGCTCTATACAGTCTGACCTCGGGCAGGGTTATGGCTTATGGCATGCTTTCGCCTACCTTTGTGGTCTCCAGTGGAGTTCGACAAGGATGCCCTATCTCTCCGTTCCTATTCAACTTTGCCATTGAGGATGTCCTGAAGAACGCTCTGAGCGATTCGTTGAACGCTGGCGTTGAGCTCCTCCCAGGTAGTCGAGTTGTTGATTTGGATTATGCTGATGATATCGTCTTGCTAGGTGACGATCCACAGGTCGTCCAACTTGCATTAAACCGCTTGACGATTGAAGCATCAAAGTATGGTATGTGCTTTTCGCCATCCAAATGCAAGGCTCTCCTTCAAGACTGGCAGGTGCCTCTGCCTGCACTCACGCTTGCTGGTGAGACACTGGAGGTTGTGGAGAGCTTTGTCTACTTGGGAAGTTGCATCACTGCTGGCGGGGCTGTTGGAGACGAGATTTCGATGCGCATCTCGAAAGCACGCCTCGCTTTTTCTAGGCTGAGGCATTTGTGGCGTCGCCACGACATTCGTCTCTCCATCAAAGGGCGGGTCTATTGTGCAACTGTTCGTGCTGTACTGTTGTACGGATGCGAGACCTGGCCCATTCGTAAAGATGACTTGCGCAGGCTATCCGTCTTCGAGCACCGCTGTCTGCGGTCCATTGCCCGTGTGTGGTGGCAGCACCACGTAAGCAATGTGGAAGTTAGACAGCGTGTCTTGGGACGTGGAAGCCACTCGCTCGAGGAGCTCATCTCACTGCATCAACTGCGGTGGTTGGGACACGTATTGCGCATGCCTGTCCAGCGTTACCCCCGTCGTGCGTTGTTTGCACTTGCTGAACAGGGCTGGAAGAGACGGTCTGGTGGACAGCCTACAACATGGAGAAGCCGCATGAAAAAGTTGACGAAACAGTTGGCCTCGGCCGGTTGTTGTCGACTACCTGGTTGGGGTCCGAGAGACGAGGATACTTGCTGGTTGAAAACCTTGGAAGTTATGGCTCAAGGTCGATGTCAATGGCGGACGTGTGCATCAGTGTGTTGCGGTGTCCCTTCCTCCTCCCCCTAAAAACGAACAAACTGAAAAAAAATTTCAAAAACTGTGAGTGGTAAACTTGACAAAAAAAGCATTTCTTGTTGCTCTTTTCTTATTAGTCATATTGTTTTCCTATTCAGCCATGATTCCGATGGCACAATATCTGTACCACAGATTGTGTATAATATATATATATAAAGCAGAAATCATGACTTTTTCTTCGTCGTCTTCATTCTTGTCGGAATCATCCAATGGGAGACGTGATAAGCTATCTGCCATACGGTTCTCGGAGCTAGGGCGGAAGATGATTTGAAAATCATAGTTCAGTAACCGCGCATACCAGCGGTTAATCCGTAGTGGCCTGTGACCATTGGTTCCTCGGCTGAGGAGGGTAGTTAGAGCAGCATGATCCGTGCGCAATGTAAATCTCCGACCAAACAGAAACAGGTGCCATTTTTCACAGGACCATACACAGGCCAGGGCCTCCCTTTCACCTGCGGAATATGAAACTTCAGTAGGGGATAACTTTCTAGAAGCATATGCAATCACTTTTTCCTCACCGTTCTGAATTTGAGACAAGACCGCTCCTAAACCGATGTTTGACGCATCCGTTGAGACGAATGTTGGGCAGTTTTCGTCGAAAATGGCCAGCATTGGGGTGGAGACGAGGCGTCTTTTAATTTCTTCAAAGGCCGACTGCTGCGAAGAGCCCCAATCGAACGTAGCTTTTTCTTTTGGCAGCATTCTCAATGGCTCCGCTATAGTTGCAAAATCGGGCAAATAGCGCAAGTTGTACGAGCATAAACCAAGAAAGTGCTTGACCTCGGATGTATTCTTCGGTACAGGGGCTTCCGTGATAGCTCGAGTGTTAGCTGCGCATGGTCTAATTCCACCAGCTGATAAGACGTACCCAAGAAACTCGACATCCGTAGCACAAAATATACACTTTTCCAGGTTTAGCCGAAGATCTAAGCTCTCCAATCGCTGCAACACAGCGCGCAGCCTTGAGTCGTGCTCATCTCTTGTTTTCCCGAAAACGCATAAATCATCCATGTAAGCGATTTGTCCCGGTAGATCTGCTAGTGAGTGATTCATAAACTTCTGCCAAGCTGCTGGAGCGGAGCTCAGTCCCATCGGCAAGACTTTGTACTGGAATAGACCACTCGATGTCAGAAAAGCCGTAAGTGGTCTGGATTCTGGTGTCAATGGCATATGGAAAAAGGCCTTCCTCAGGTCTAGTTTTGAGAAAAATCGCGCGCCAGTTATCTTGACCAACAACTCGTCAACTGTGGGAAGAACGAATTTTTCGACGACGATCTGACTGTTCAACGCTTTCAAGTCGTTGCATATGCGCACAGTACCGTCCTTCTTTAACACCGTGACCATGGGATGCACCCATTCGGAACAGTTAACTGGCTCTATCAAATCGTTGGAAATCATCTATTGTATGGCATTTTCTACCATCGCACGTTTGGCCAATGGAATAGGACGTGGCTGCGAAATCGAAAACGGTTTAGCGTCCTTTTTAAGGCATGTTCGATGAGCAGCAGATGGAATCCGGCCAATCGACTCAGTAAATAATTTGGGATATAAGCTTTTAAGTACTGATGTTTTGATTGTCATGATGCGCATTCGCTCGATAGATGGTGTTATGTTGAGGGCAACCATAGCATTTCGCCCCAGCAAGGCTGGACTGTCTTCGGAGGCAACATACACAGCTACATCAGATGCGACTGAGAGTAAACTGATTTTCGTCATTATATATCCCCGAATTTGCACACGTGAATTTGTGTACGATTCGAATTTATATGACGTAGGATGTAATGGAATGTCTTTCAGGTAATTGTCGTAAATGCTGGAAGGGATAATTGTTATCGGCGATGCCGAGTCTAGCTCCACAGTCACTGGTACAGAAGTGTTAAGCCCATGGAGTGTAACGGTACGTATGTCAGGAGCAGGGAGCTTGGGTTCCAGCGAAGCAATTCGTCGTGTTTCTGGTTGTAATCGTCTTCTGATAGAAAAAACATTCGGTGTAGTTGGTGAGGTGGAAACATCATTTTGTTGGTCAATTAACGCGACTCGACGCGAGCGGCAGCATCTGGCGAAGTGGCCCAGTTTACCACAGCTTTTACACTCAGCTGTACGAGCCGGACATGTTTGACAGTCAGCTTTGTGGCGAGAACTCCCACATCTATAGCACGAAACAGTCGAATTCTGACGTTGACTGGAACCCTTGTGCTGAATCTTACTGACTTCTAGTATATCACTCGACTTGAATAGGCTCGAATGTTCAACGGCGGCTTTTATTAGTCTTGCGATCTCTATGGCTCTCTCCCAGGTAAGTTTTGACGGATCTTCGGAAAGTAGCTTTTCGCGTATACGATTATCCTTTATACCGGTTATCAACTGCTGCGTCAGCATAACACTCTCAAGTTGATTCTTCGGGATGCTAGTATAGTCACAGGTTTTTACAGACCGAATTAAACGAGCGACAAATTGTTCCAGTGGCTCTGCATCTTCTTGCCTCAAACAGCAGAACTTGTAGCGTTCAGCGAAAATGTTTGGCCGTGCACCCCATGACTGATCGAGTACATCCCATGCCTTTGTAAGTGTGTCGAATTTCTGCAGATCTAACGCATCGAAATAACGTTGACCTTCATTGCCCAACAGGTGACGAAGTAGTTTCAGTTTTTGCTTCTCATCGTAAGTAGTGGTTGCTGGGAGTAGGTCCAAGTAATTCGTGAAAGACGTTCTCCATTGGATCCAATCACTCTCCGTAGGTCTGGAAGCAGGATCGCACCAAAAGGCTTCTGGAGGTAGTAGGTGAAGTGCCATTGTAATGGTCCACAGCCCGCGACGCCACTGTTGTATCTACACGTACACTAGTCCCCTGCACGCAGGGTCTTGAACAAACACGACCAAAGCCCCGAACGAGGAAGCAGAACGCTACAGGTACGCAACACAAACTTCTATTGACGCCAACGGTACATGCACTCAGTATATTCAAAACAACCCTGGTATTGATCGCGAACGGACAGGCATCCAATCACAAGCTACGAAGTGCGGTCGTGGTAAGGCCCGCGCGTACGGGCTACCACAGTGCCTACCTGTCTATTACCCACTACCTCGTCCATACTGGGTCCAGGAGATAGTTAGTCGTAGCTAGAGGGGACGGATGCATGGTCCTTGTGGCCGTACTAGGCTCGGAGATTGGTTCCATGCACTCAGTGTGGAGCGGACTACGGTCCAGCTACCGCCTTGTGTGCGCTGGATCCCCACACATCGTGCTTGTGTTTGCCTGTGAAGTAGTGTGGGCCGGCTCCATTGATGAAACGTGACTCCCATCCACATGCCTCCCGGTCTTATTCCTACTAGTTTACACTGGATTTGAAGTGTGTGGTTGGAGCTGTGGGTGGTGAAACGCAAGCCACCCATGGTCCCACTGTAATCGCAGGTGTCCTGTGGCTGGCCATAGTGACATGCAAATCCGAAACCGGATGCCGCCAACTATATAAAGTTCGCGGTCCAGTAATGGCAAACGTGGTTAAAACGCAAGCTGGTTTCCCTGGAGACCGCACAGCGAAGGGCAACACAAAATGTGGAGGGATTGTTCCACCTCCCATACTATCTGCGACTGAAAATCCTGGGAATTTGCAGCGAAATTTAACGTTGTCTACGGGGTGACGTCATCCTGGCGTTCCGGACCTAGAAAAACCCCGGTCACGCTTACCACCACTTCCTGAAATTTAACCTCAACACAGAATTGGGAGAACATAAGCTGTAACTGGCAACCCAACACAGTCGGCTAGAGTCCAGCCGGAATTGCTTTTCTCTTCGAATTTATCAACCGTGGAACATTCTTTCGAATTTTGTCATTTCTGCGCCCACTCTACCTATTTAAAAATCGACTTGACGATGCTGTACACCGTCTGCATTACTTGATCTGATTTATGTTCATGGAGAGTAGATAAGACGCCGACAAACATTGTGCTCACTAACCACCGAGAATTCGATGTAGACAGATGTACTTCTGTGTTAATGTGGATAATACGGTGAATCCACAAATGCGTATTTTGGGTAGCTATCTTTTTGAACTGACGTTATTTCCAAAAACGATCACACTGCACTTGCCAAGCCTTTTGTCTGTACTATACCATTTTTCCGCTGTAACTTGCATCACAGTTGCAGGTGAATTGCTATTGAATATACGACGTGGATTAGATCGGGAGTCTATCTCTAGAGCGTTGGACAATGAGCGGGGTAATTTGTGCCACAACATGCCGGTAGGTTGATGGATAAGCTTTGATTGTCAAGTTGTCCTAATAGGCTTTGTAAACCCTAATGGGTTCATTTTCAGCATTTGCACCACCACTGCGGACAATTGGATGATATCAATTTACATGCTTAGGGAGAAAAGCGGGGAAAAGGAAGCACTGTTACTCCAACAACTGCTCGCGCAGCATGTTACTGATCTTTGCTGTGTCAACAAGCAAACGTGAGGGATAAGGCAAAACAGTATTACGGTACGATGACGTGCGGCAGTATAAAATTCTGTATTTCGAACGAGTAGAAGAGAAAGTGTTTTGGAAAGAGCATTTTGAAGTGGATGAAATCGATCAATTAGTATCTTAGAAGAAAAATCATTGCAGGCATCGATATCTAGAAATGATCAGATCAACATCAACGATCTTTAGACAAGCCGCTGCTTCTAGAAATATGCTTTATAGAACGCATTAATAAGATATAGTCTTTCTGAAGCAGTCTAGAGAAAATGACCAGAGAACAGTATAACCAATGGGGTATAATACAAGAGGTCACAAACCTGAATATATTGAAGTACGAGCTACTGAAAGCACCTTAAGTCTGGGGGCGTCCAAAGAAAGTTTGCTGACTTTTTGAAAAGTTTTGCAGATATGGGTGAGCCAAAAAAAGGTTCTGAGACGAAAAGACGATGAGATGCTTGACGGTGGAAGTGCTGGGTATGGGATTTTCCTTCACAGTAGGTGTGGGGGAGAAATCTATGAGGGACTGCAACTTATCACCACGGAGAAAAGCAAATATTACATCACTGCATTTAAAAGCATTAAGCGTAAGAGATCTGGATGACAACCATTCCACCAGATCTTCCAACCCACATTGAAGTGATCGGGAATCCTGGTTAGTGGGGACCGTACATTCCAGCACAACATCCTCAGCATATTTACGCTCTATAAACGTGGTCTGCATGAGGATAGAAACGTGATAGGATCGCTCCCTGTAGAACACCACAGTCAGCAAGGAGGGCAGAGAATTTCTTACCCTTCAACTTGGTGAAGTGAGTACGATCTGTAAAATAGTCACGTAACAGAGTACACACACCAGGGTGAACTCCATTTTCGGATAGCAGGTTTAGCAACATTGACCTATCCAGGCTTCCAAAGGCAATCAAATAATCCAGGAAGGGAAGCCGTACGGATTTACATTTTTGATCTAATGCAGAGGCTATAGAATGAACATGATATACCACTGCATCCAATGTGGAACGCTTGGTTCTATGCGCAAACTGGTAGATATCGTCTTCAGGAGCAACTGAAAAAATGCGCGGAATCAACACTCTTTCGAAAACTTTTAGGAATACAGGTGTACATGCAGTTGGGCGATACTTCCATTTTTTGGTATTGGAGTGATACTAGCCCTTCTCCAAATATCCTTACTTTCACCGCTACTGATAGCTATGCTTATTCTCTCTGGTGCTCAAAAATAATTGGTTTCGGTGCCTTTCGTTTCCGGAAGAACGCTCTGATTCTCCATTCAACTTCAGCTTTTCCGATGTCAGTTCACGGACAGCTTGGCTGCTCCTCAATGGCGCTCGAATAAATAGCTTTTCCGATGGCCTTTCCTGGAGATTTCACTTGACCATGGAGACAATTAGACCCAATTATTACTTACATTTTAAGGAATTCTGATTCTATTTTGCGGAGTAAGAAATTCGTAACGATCTCACATTGGACAAAAAAATGGCATTTTTGCCTGTTATGGAGGTATTCAGCCACAATGAACATCTACACTCACCATCCCCATGATAAGTCCAGCGTGGATAGCTGGACACGGTTTGCGCAACCGGACAAGTATATAACAGAAGAAGAAAGCCTACATTAACGGTGTTTTTACTCACCTGCAACACTCATCATTCGACTCTACGACTCTTTTGCATCTTTGACCGGTTTCAACGACTACTGCCGGATCATTACCAAGCCAATCGGTCAACCAACGAAGAAATTTGGCTGTCAAGCGACTGCGAATAATAGAGTGTAAAATCGATCTGTAAGATGCATCGCCGGCTTGCACTACTGTTCAACAGAAGTTACGGCAGTGTTCCAGGACGTGGTGGGTTTTCGCCTGGCAAGCGTTCTCCCTATAAAAAGCCACAAATGTCCGCTTAACAACACTGCAACGTGGCGGATGTGACTCGCCACTGAATAAAGTCACAGCTGAACCTTTCACACTGACGCAGTCATCAGACTTCTACATACAACCTGTGCAACCGATTTTACTATGGAGAATGCTTTGATGGAGCACCGAACATTCCGAGTTTTTAATGGACGCTGATTGCACCGAAATCTTGCTTTGGCTCCTGTGCTCATGGTTTACTACATGGCGAAATCACGCCGAACTCGAATATTGACACAACAGTTATAACTGATTTTTACGCGCCCCAGCGACATCATGTTCCTTGGTTGGACTATTACCTGATAAAATACTCACTCGGATGAACTACATCTTTTCGGTTATACCTTTCTTTAAAACGATGTGCTTTACTATTCCAAAGCAGCTATGCTTGTATGCATCTTTGATCGCGCCTTCACAGGTGTGCCTCGTTTTATCGAGAATATAGCATTTATTTATTTAGTTATGAACAATGAACAATGATTTATAACGGGTAAAAAAGCATATGCTTGAAGGTCCCGTAGGGTGGTTGGAGCAATAGATAAAATGGAAGGATAATCGAACAAGTAAATCGTTTTTTAAGCCTCTACAGATTTCAACGCACCACTTCATTATGATAGTTTGAAGTATGGACTGGATGTCTGCACTCAAAGTAGAGCTGTTATATTACAGCAAATGTGGGAAAAA